AGACACCCTCTTCAATAAATGGTGCTGTGAAAACTGGATATCCATATGCAGCAGATTGAAACTGGATCCCTACCTCTCACTAAGTACAAAAATCAACACAAATGCCTTAAAGACTTAAACATAAGACCTAAAACTATAAAACTGCTAGAAGGAATGTTGTGGCATAACCTGCTTATCTGGAGCAGAAAAAAAGTGCTTATAGAACACATGCTTTGTGCTCAAGGAAGGATTGCCTCTTTGAAGCACAAGAATGCGACCAGACTTGCTGACTCCTATCTATGGCCCCTCTAGCTTTTTTAATGATTTAATCTAGAATAGAATTTGTTCTCTATGCCTCAAAGGAAATGCCAAATGGCCCTAGCTATAGATCACCTGCCTGACCACCATTCCTTTATCTCCCCTCACACGCCTATCACATTCTTGCTTTGTGCCGTGTACCAATAAATGGTGTGGGTCTCCAGAGCTCGGGGCCTTCGCAGCCTCCGTACTTGCGTTGGCCCCTGATCCCCACTTCATGCACTCATCTTTTCTCATTTCTTTGTCTCTGCCGTCCCTTGCGACCCTCACGGTCTGTGTCAGGGCTGGTCCCCGACATAAAGCTATTAGAAGAAAACACAGGGAAAACACTTTAAGACATTGGTCTAGACGAAGCTTTTATGTCCAAGATCTCAAAAGCACAAGCAACAAAAACAAAAATAAACAAACGGTATTATATTAAACCAAAAAGCTCTGGGCTGGAAATGGTGACTCACACCTATAAGCCTACCACTTTGGGAGGCCAAAGTGGGAGGATCACTTGAGACTAGGAGTTCAAGTCCAGCCTGGGCAACATAGCAAGATCCCATTTCTACAAAAAAAAAAAAATGTTTTAAAATTAGCCAGGCCTAGTAATGCACAGCTGTAGTCCCAGTTACTTGGGAGGCTGAGGTGGAGGGATCACTTGAGCCCAGGAATTTGAAGCTGCAGTAAGCCATGATCATGCCATTATACTCCAGCGTAGGTGACAAGAGTGAGACACCAACTCAAAAAGTAAAAATAATAAGCCTCTGCACAGCAAAAGAAATAATCAACAGAGTAGACAAAGAAGCTGTTGACTGGAGAAAATATATGAAAACTATTCATCCAACGAGCAACAAATATACAGAATATACAAGGAACTGAAAGAAGTCAACAGTAATTAAACAATCTTATTTAAAAATGGACAAAGGACATAAACACACATTTCTCAAAGGGCATAAAAATGGCCAACAGGTATATGAAAAAATGTTCAACATCACTAATCATCAGGGAAATGCAAATCAAAATAATAATGAGAACACCTCACCCAGTTAGAATGGCCATTATAAAAAGACAAAAAATAATAGATGCTGGAAAGAATGCAGAGAAAAAGGAACTCATATACACTGTTGGCAGGAATGTAAATTAGTAAAGCCACTATGTAAAACAGTATGAAGATTTCTCAGAAAACTAAAAACAGTACTATACAATCAAAATCAGTATATAAAAGGGATACCTGTACCCCCATATTGCAGCACTATTCACAATAGTAAAGATATGCAATCATACCAAGTGTGCCTAATCTACAGATAAATTAATAAAGAAAATATGGGGGCGTGTGTGTGTGTGTGTGTATGTGTAGAGACAGTGAGAGCAAGAGAGAATGGGATACTATTTGGCCATAAAAAAAGAACAAAATCATGTTCATATGGAGCCACATGAGTGGAACTGGAGGTTATTAAGTGAAATATAAGCCAGGTACAGAAAGGCAAATATTGCATGTTTTCACACATATGTGGGAGCTAAAAAAAATAAATATTAATCTCACAGAGTTAGTAGAATGATAGACACGATAGGTACTAGAGAATGGGAAGGGTGTGTCAGTGGGAGGGGAGATAAAAAGAGGTTAGTTAATGGATACAAACATAGTTAGAAGGAATAAGTGGTAATGTTTAATAGCAAAGTAGTGTAGTTAACAATATACTGTCCACTTCAAAATAGCTGGAAGAAAGGAGGTGAAATGTTCCCAAAACACAGAAATGATAAATATTCAGTGACAGATACTCTGAATACACTGACTTGATCATTATACAGTCTATGCATATAACAAAGCATCACATGTACCCCATAAATATGCACAAATATTATGTATTAATTTAAAAATTTGATTTTTGTTCTATTTAACACCCTGTGAGGAGGATGAAAGCAAAAGCTACAGACTGAGGGAAAATACTTGCAAACCACATATCCAACAAAGTATCTAAAATATATAAAGGACATTTAAAACACAACAATAAAAAAGCAAACAAACCAATTAGAACATGGGCAAAAGACATGAACAGAAATTTCATTGAAAAAGATTCACAGGTGTTAGCAAATAAGCACAGGAAACGATGTTCAATATCATTAGTAGTCAGGGAAATCCAAATTAAAACCACAATATAATAACACACCTATCAGAATGGTCAAAATAAAAAATAATGACAATACCAAATGCTGACAAGAATGTGGAGGAATGTAAAATGGTATGGTCACTCTGGACAGCAATTCGGCGGTTTCTTACAAAATAAACATGCAATAACCAAACAACCCAGTAACTGCACTCCTGGGCATTTATCCTAAGGATAACAAAAATTTACATTCACACAAACATCTTTACAGGAATGTTCACAGCAGCCTTATTTGCAATAGCCAAGAAACAGAAACAACCCAAATGGCCGTCAGTATCTAAAAGGAACAAACTAAGTGGGATATGTAAAAATCTAGATAAATCTCCAGAAAAATATGCTGAGTAAAAAAAGTCAATTCTAAAAGGTTATATAATACTTGATTCCAGTTATATATTTGAAATTTCAAAATTTAAGAAATGAATATCAAATTAGTGGATGCCAGAAAGTCTGACTAGAGGGCCAGAGCAGGGTGGGATGGAAATGGGTATGGTTATAAAAGGGTAACAGGAAGGATTCCCAAGGTAATAGAATACCAAGTCAGCATCTTGACTATGGTGGTGGGTACACGAACCAACACATGTGATAAAGTATATGAAGTGCATACCACAAAGAAATGAATACAAGGAAAACTGAGGAAATCAGAATAGATTGGTAGATTGTATCAGTGTCAATATCCTGTTGTTGATATAGTGCTATAGTTTTATACTATAGATAAATTCATAGCTATAAAAACAACTTTGTCATTGGAGAAAACTGGGTAAATGGTACCTGGAATCTCTTTGTATTATTTCTTACAACTGCATGTGGATCTACAATTATCTCAATAAAAATTTCAATTAAAACTAAAAGACTGTTCAATACAGACATACATTCTCATGGAAGAATCCATGTAACAATACTAAGAGTAGTTTTAAGATCACACTAGCTGAAGTATGACTGTCAAAAAGCAATCTAAAAAGTAGAAAGTCTCTGAGAATCTCTTCTTGTTTCTGAGAAGTTTTAATATTGATCACAGAAAAGACATTAACCCAAGACACAACCAAGGTACCAAGATCTCAGTTATCCAGAAGAATACATCCAATACCCAGTAAGGATTAATTTGTGCTAAAACTCTACCCTAAATTATGTTACTTCTAAAAGACTCAAGTTGTAATTGGAAAAAAAAAAAATCTAAATAACAGATTTAAGCATCTGCTAGAAGCAGAAACACATTCTCATGTTTTATAATTCATTCATCCATTTGACGGATGTTTATGCAACACCTTCTCTGAATGAAGGCCTGGGCTAGGGAAAGGTTACTCTAGCACTATCACCTCCCCACCACCTGGTCTTCAGCCTGTTCTCAAGCATCTTCCCAAGTAGGAGGGGAGATCAGATAAAAAGAATATGATAGCCAATTTTATTGAGACCATGAGGCCGTTTCTGATCCAATACAATTAAATCTAATGTTTTCGGATTTATCCACAGATGACAGAGTATTGTGACAAGGCTTATGACCATGTTAGAAATTTTCGTTTTCCGGCCGGGCGCGGTGGCTCAAGCCTGTAATCCCAGCACTTTGGGAGGCCGAGGCGGGTGGATCACGAGGTCAAGAGATCGAGACCATCCTGGTCAACATGGTGAAACCCCGTCTCTACTAAAAATACAAAATATTAGCTGGGCATGGTGGTGCTTGTCTGTGATGCCAGCTACTCAGGAGGCTGAGGCAGGAGAATTGCCTGAACCCAGGAGGCGGAGGTTGCAGTGAGCCGAGATCGCGCCATTGCACTCCAGCCTGGGTAACATGAGTGAAACTCTGTCTCAAAAAAAAAAAAAGAAATTTTCATTTTCTTTTCATAGTGTTTATCATCATAGTAACTAAGCATTTCCATAAACTATAAAAAATACAAATAATAAGCAGTGGCTTATATACCCTTTCCAGACCACTCCAGAAACAAATCCATGTAAAACAAAAATGCTGGTCTTTAAAACAAGCAAAATGAGGGCATAAAAAGACTGGCTAAATGTCTAACCAAATCATTTTTTAGTATATACTCCCTTCAATGACACAAAATCTGTTAACATTCCCCAACAAATCCAAAGCACTTTACATTTTGTAAAGCAGCCATAATGGATGACTGCAAAATTCCCTTTTAAGAATCTGTTTCATTATTCCTCTCAAATCCAATGAAGGGTTTCCAAAAGGATAGAGCCAATGCCCAATAAGGATTAACTAATAAGGACTTTAAAAGTAGCTCAGCTGACATGTTTAGATTCTCATGGTAGACAAAGCAGAATAAGCAAGCTGTATAAACCGAGTTAAGATTATTTATCTATTGGGTACACCTTACCTTCCAACTGTTAACAGGATTCTTTGATGTCTGCCACCAAATAGTAATTCAGGATTTGTGATTCTTAAATACATAAATCAGGCTATTCTCTATTTACTTACTGTCTAAGACTATTGACTCTTAGCTGTAAAATTACAATTAACTGTCATAATATCAAAAAAAGGTCCAATAAGTTCTCTCAAAATAACTTCTTCCTAGAGTCAAATACAAAAATTGAACTTACCACTTTTTTAAAATCATCTTCTGCCTCATCAAGTTTTCCTTGTTTGAGTAATAAGTGACCTCTCTGTAATCTTGCCTAGAAAAAAAGGGGAGTGGGGAATATCTTGATTATAGATTTCTAATTTTTTAAACATAAAGAATAAAACTAAACAAACAAGTTATTAATAAATATTTATTTTTCCAATGCCCATTTTACCTGACACCAAAAATAATTCCTGGAACCAATTAATGTGTATAATTTTTCTTAATGTATGATTCCTTAAAAATACTTTTTGTTCTACCAGGAAAACAGAAAACATGTCCACACAAAAACCTGTAGTACATGTATGTTCACAACAATAGCCAAAAAGTGAATAACCCAAATTCCCATCAACAAATCAATATATAAATATAATGTATCCATACAATATTATTCAGCTATAAAAAGGAATGACATATTGATAGCTGCATGAATGAACCTTGAAAGTATTATGCTAAGTGAAAGAAGTCAGACACAAAAGGCCAAACATTATGTGATTTTGTTTATATGAAATATCTGAAAAGGGCAAATCTATGATAAGTGGTTGCCAGGAGCTAGAGTGGAAGTGGGGAAGTGACTGCTAACAGGTACAGAGCTTCTTTGGGGGTTGATAAAAGTGTCCTGAAAGTAGCTAGTGGTGACCACTACACAACCTGTAAATATACTAAAGACCACTGAATACTTTTAAAGGGTAAATCTGATGGCATATAAATTGTATCTCAATTTTTAAAAATGCTTTTAGCATAGCTTTTTGCGCTACAATAAAAGTTGCATAAATTGGGACTCTACCAGTCCCTCTTCTCTTTTAACATGCATAAGTTTCTCCCTCTTCATCTGAGATCCCTCTTCTTCTAATGTGTATAATCCCATTTCTTTCAAGAATACCAGCTCTCTGATGACCAATCAAGCCATAAAAGTATTCCTCTTAACTTTATATATATTACTCTTATAGTACATTAAATTTTCCTAACCCTTTTAAATGTGTCAATACACATAAAAAGAAAGATTAAAGCCACTTCAACTATCATAAAACTAGGAAAATGAGCCATTTAATCTTTATGAAAGGTTGTGCTTGCTTAGCTGTGTAAGATAAATTTGATAAATGTTTGAGATTTGGGAGTTCCATCTTAAAATATTAGTAATATTTCAAATCAAATATTCACCCCATATCTAATCAGTTATCTCAAATCCTTCTGAAATACACTGGGAAATAAGAAACTATCTTATTGGTCAATGGTTGTCAATTCTGCCTCTGAAAGCCCCAAATGAATTCCACCTCATAAGTCCCTTCCCTGCCCACACCTCTGTCACAGCCTTTATGGTGACCCGCCAATCATCAGGATTTCCTATTAGACTACAAGTTTCTCTACCTCTAAAGCTTATAGGTTGGTTCCAGAGGATGTCTCTGCTAATTTGGCATTTTATTGTCACCACAAATGATAGCCCAATTAAGTAATCCCCATTTTATTCTTCCTGCCACAGCCTTAAGTGCAACTGTTGTCAGTCACCTGATACTCTTAATTCAGTCTCTTTATCAACTCATGTCTGGGCCTCACATCTTGCCTCATACTCCATCCTCCACACAGATTTGTCTTTCTAAACCACAAAGCTGATATCACTGCCAGACTTCTGAAAAAAACCTTTAATGAACCTGCTGTTCTCTTTCACACAGATCTTTGATTCTAGGGATTTTGAATTTCTCTTGCTCCTCAGTCCACTACATCAGTGTAGCTTTGATCTCTTCTGGTTATATCTAGCATGCCAGTCCTCACCTTATGAAACAAATTCTCTCTCCCAAGTTCTCTTAAGTTCCCCTTTAAAGAAAGTTTAGATATACTTACTGCAGTGAAGTCCATCTTCAATTCAATCACTTTAGTTAAATCAGGAAGTGCAGCTTTGGATTTGCCCATAGCTAAAAAGACAGTAGCCCTCCGATAATAAGCAATATAGTTATCCGGATCACCATCTGAAAATTAAAATAATATTACCTCTTATTTATTCAAAAATTAAAAAAAAAAAATCACCTGGACAGTATCAGCTTTGCAACTCTACTAAGACAGACATTAAGAAAAGAATCTTTTCATCAAAAAGAAGTCATGTTGCCTGGCAAGATCTGTGCAAATAGACCTAGAACAGGGGTCAGCAAACTATAGGCCGAGCCACATCCAATGCACAGACTTCAGTTAAGAATCTTTTTTACATTTCTTAAAAGTGGCCCCAAAAAGAAGAAAAAACAAAAGAAAAATTTAAGACTGTATGGCTACAAAGCCGAAAATACTTGTCTGGTCCTATAGAAAAAAAGCTCGCAAACCCTTGGTCTAGAATATTAACTATATTCAACTTATAACCTTTTTTTATTTTGTTTTTATCTTTGAGACAGGGTCTCTGTCACCCAGGTTGGAGTGCATTGGCATGATCATGGCTCTCCATAGCCTTGACCTCCCACACCCAAGCAATGCTACCACCTCAACCTTCTGAGTAGCTGGAACCACAGGCGTGTTCCACCATGGCCAGCTAATTTTTTCTTTTTAATTTTTTGTAGAGAAAGAGTCACCATGTTGCCCAAGCTGGTCTTGAACTCCTGGACTCCAGCAATCCTCCTACTTCAGCTTCCCAAAGTGCTGGGATTACAGGCATGAGCCACTGCACCCAGCCTCAACTCATAACTTTTATAAGTAAGCAATTCAGTTTGTCTCTGCTGAGATTTTCCTAAGAAAAATACTAAGAATGTGGACTATGCATAATGTACAGAATTTTAAAATGTATAGACCTCTGACTAAATTGATATATTGAACATAAAACCTCTGCTCCCTCACAAACTCCAGCTAGAATAGAAGTGAAGAATAAAAGGTACAAGGACAAAGGAGGAGATTAGAAATGAGAGTAAGACTAGAGAAAGAGACTAGAGAAGTTAACATTTGTAACGAAAGCAGACAGATGAATTTGGTTTTTGAGCTAATTTTACTCTGCTTATTAGTACCTACAAAGTAGAGAAAGGAGTGGGTTCAATTAGAAGCAAATCTGCTGCAGAACAATCCTTCTAGAAAGCAACTTAGAAATATAAGCATATAAAGAATTCGAAAACTAACCTTGACAAAAGCCAGCCATCAATCTTTAAGAAAGAAAAGATTTATGTACTCAGGTGTTCATTATCATAATATATACAATTAAAACTCCCTAAAAGTTCTATCCCTAAAGTTGTTGCCATTTGGAAAACATTACAATAATTATAGGCAGGACAGTGCATAATCATTCAAAATTATGGTTGTGAGCAGTTGTTAATGGCATTGAAAATGTCAGGAGAAAGTGGGTCAGAAAAAGAGATTAGGCTATACAACCAAACATGAAAGAAGACATACAAATGGCCAATAAGTACATGAAAAGATGCTCACTATCCAAATCATTAGGGAAATGCAAATCAAAACCACATTGATCTGCATGGGGCAACAAAAATACTAATAAAAACTAAGAAAGCAAAACAAACAAAAAAACCACATTGGGATACCAGTTCACACCCATTTTAAGATGGCTATTATTAGAAAGATAAAATAACAAGGGTTGGCAAGGACGTGGAGAAACTGGAGTGCTTGTGCACCGTTGGTGGAATGTAAAATGGTACAGCCACTGTGGAAAACAGTAAGATGACTTCCCAAAAAATTAAATGTAAAATTATCACGTGGTCCAGCAATTCTACTCCTTTGTATATATACCAAAGAATTGAAAGCAAGGGTCAAATATGTATTCAAACACACATGTTCATAGCAGCATTATTCACAATAGTCCAAAGGTGGAAACGACCCCAAAATCCATCAATGAATGAATGAATAAACAAAAAGTGGGATGTGGGATATAGCATACATACAACAGATATTCATTCAGCCTTATAGAAAAATGAAATACCTATGCATGCTATGAACCTCGAAAACATTATGCTAAGTAAAATAAGCCAAGACACAAAAGGAAAATATTGTATGGTTCTACTAATATGAGGTACCTAAAGTACTCAAATAATAGAGACATAAGGTAGAATAGTGGTTGCCAGCAGCTGGTGTAGAGGGTTAGGAATAGGGTCCTATTGTTTAATGGATATAGAGTTTCTGTTTGGGATAATGAAAAAGTACTAGAGATGGACAGTGATGACTGCACAAAATGTGAACACAATACCACTGAACTGCACACTTACAAATGGTTAAAATGGTTAATTTTCATACATTTTACCACAACAAAAAAGTAAAAGCATAAATCAGTCAGAAAAAAAAATGTATTTTTTAAAAAAGGAATTGGGTATTTTAACAATTAAAAAAAACCTTTTTTTTCTTAAATCTAAAAACAAAAATATATGATCTCAGCTAAGGGTCACTAAAATTTCTTTACTGAACAACTTTCTTTAGGAGGAAGGAAAGAAGAGCAAAAACAGTAGCCTGAATATAGGCTATTTCTTACAAAATACTATAATTAAGGAAAGATTAGGAAACAGAGTAACTATATTTGGAATATGCTTAATATACAGTATTTTTCAGTTCAGTTTATATTTTATTTGTAAGGTATAATAAATTAAAATTTTATGGGTTTAGTTTGCGAACTGGCCATAGAATAATTTGATACCTAAGAATTACTAACATTTAAGTAACACACTGGAGAGCAGAGGGCAATTCACTGCATGTCAACAGCGGCTATCCAGGCAGAGAGATAAGGTTTCTTCTTTCTGCCGTCCATGTATTCCAAAATGTTTCACAATGCATATGGATTACTTTTACATTCATTCATTTTTTTAAAACTTGTTATCCGTGGCTTATTTACACCAAGCAAAGAATAATACCGGAAATAACATGATTCAAGGTCTAAAGTGCAAAACCCCATCAATTACATATGGCCAAATCCTACTCAATCTTTGAGGCACAGCTCAAATGACTTATTTGACCACACATGGAAAAATAAACCTTTCCCTCTCTCAAATTCCGTAACATTCTATAATACTTGTCCTTTACTGCACCTAACACTAAGCACTGATTATCAATTGTTCATATACATTTGGCCCTCTGTATCCATGAGTTCTGCATCAGTGAATTCAACCACCCTCAGATTGAAAATATTTCAGGGAAAAAAAAACCCAAAACTGTGTCTGTATTGAACATGTACAGACTTTTTTCACTATTTCCTAAAAAGTAGAGTAAAACAACTATTTACACAGCATTTACATGGTATAAGGTAAATTGCATTCAATTTCTATTTGGAAAAACCTGATCATTCCAATCCATGAAGAAAATATCTGCACAGAAGACTGTGTATTACTTCACTTTTGTACTAAGGATCCAATCATATACAAAAATTGTCTACATACAATATTTCTGGAGTGTCCACTTTCACCAATTTTACTGTTCCATTTTTAGGCATTTTAAGATAGGAAATGGAATTGGAACCCCAATTTATAAAACCAAACCTAAAAAAAATAAGAAATCTGTTGTACTATAAGATCTATATTTGGTCTTCTTCCTGTTTTCTGACATATACCTCCTACAACCTGTGGAATCTGTAGAGTGATTACTTTTTTGTATACTAATGAAATGGCTAGTATCTGGGCACCCCTAGATAATAAGAATGTGGACTATACATAATGGGAAAACCTACCAGGTGAAAATATTGAGATTTTCAGTACCCGCTACCATCTTAGGGGTTGAAGGTTGAGTTGGTTACCAATAGCCAATTATATAATCGATCATGCCTAAGTAATGAAGCCTCCATAAAAACCTAAAAGGACAGGGTTTGGAAGAACTTCCATGCAGCCAAAAACATGGAGGCTCCTGGAGGGTGTGGTACACCCAGAGAGGGCAAAGAAGCACCTCGCCCCTTCCCATATGTCTGGCCCTATGTATCTCTTCCATCTATTTGGTTGTTCATTTGTATCCTTTGTAATATCCCATAATAAACCAGTAAACATAAGTGTTTTCCTGAGTTCTGTGAGCTGCTCTAGCAAATCAACTGAACTTAAAGAAGGGGTCATGGGAATCCTCATTTACAACCAGCCAGTCAGAAGCACAGGTAAAACAACCAGGGGTTTATAAATGGCTTCTGAAGTCAGGAGTGGTCTTGTGGCACTGGGCTTTCAATCTGTGGGATCTTCGGCTGTCTCCATGTAGATAGTTTCAGAACTGAACAAAATTAGAGGTCATCCAGCTGCTGTCTGCTGGAGAATCTGTAGGATTACTTAGTGGAGAGAAATTCCCACACATTTTGGTGACTAGAGGTCACAGAAGTATTCTGCACTGTGAGAATATAATAGGAGAAACAGAGGCTCACTCCATCGCCCAGGTTGCACTGTGGTGACACGATCATAGCTCACTGCAATTCCAACTCCTGGGCTCAAGCAGTCTTCCGACCTCAGCCTCCTGAGTGATCCTACACTATTTTCAAAGATATAACTGTATTCTTTATTACCATCTGATCTTCACAAAAATTCCCATGGGTGACACAGTGAAAACTGCTAGGAACTGCAGGTAACTTTTTCAAGTGTGTGTTTTCTTACATAACCGGACCAATGTCACAGGATTATCCAGTGGCAAGACCAAGATTAAAATCTGTTTCCCTTTTCAAAGTAATACACAAAGCCATACTTTCTAATAGCTTCACAGAGTACACATGATAGGAGTTCTCTATATGTTTATACAGTAGGCTACTGCAACGGAACTATGTTTCGCCTGACATCCCAACAGGTGCCAGCTACCCTTACATTCCAAGGTGAGATTTGTAAGGCCACTTGGAAAAGATGGTAAGTGTTCTCTCTGCAGGACAGAGTAGACTGGTGTATCTGACTCATCCCTGAAAATCCTAAATGGCAAGAGACTAGTAGGCTCTCTGACCTGACGGAAAGGAAGAAGGAGTTGCTATCTAGGCTGTCCACTATCTACAGACATGGTCAGGACAAAGAATACATGCATGCTTCCCACAGACCAAAGAGAGCTGGCCTGGGTTGTCTCATATCTCATCCACAAGGCGACTGGAGAAGTCCTTTGCATTTCCATAAGATATTTTAGAATCAACTAGTCAATTTCAATGAAATAAAGTGCTAGAATTTTATTAGATTTCATTGAATGTGTAGACCAATCTGGGGGCCACTTGACATCTTTATAATGCTGAATCTTCCTATCCATTAACATGATATACCTTCATTTAAGTCTTTTGTAAGTTTCTTATAACTATTTTTGTGGTTTTCAGCAAAATGTTCTTGCACATCTTTCATTAGATTTATTCTTAGGTGTTTTTTGTATTTGTTTATTCCTAATAGAGATTCTATTGCTAAAAAAGTATGTTGCCTTTGTTATCCAGTGAGTGCCTTGCTAAATTCATTTAAATTATGATAGTTTGCAGATTATTTGCATATCATCATGTCCTCTGTGAATGACAGTTTTATTTCTTCCTTTCTCAATCTTTATGCCCTATTTCTTGCCAAATTACAGTGACTGAGCAATTGCATTAGTTCATTTTCACACTGCTAATAAAGATATACCCAAGACTGGGTAATTTATAAAGGAAAGAGCTTAACTGACTTGCAGTTCAGCATGGCTTAGGAGACCTCAGGAAATTTACAATCATGGCAGAAGGGGAAGCAAACACATCCTTCTTCACATGATGGCAAGGAGGAGAAGTGCTGAGCAAAAGGGGGAAAAGTCCCTTTTAAAACCATCAGATCTCATGAGAATTCACTCACTATCTTCAGAATAGCATGAGGGTAACCACTCCCATGATTAACTTACCTCCCACCAGGTCCCTCCCATGACATGTGGGGATTATAGGAACTACAATTCAAGATGAGATTTGGGTGGGAACAGCCAAACCATGTCAGCAATTAACAAAAAGAAAAAAAAGGGATCCAGGTCATAAAGAAAGAAGTAAAACTATACTTTCCCATAACATAATCTTGTATATGGAAAATCCTACAGAATCTACACACAAAAAAATTCCTAGAGCTAATAAGTTCGGCAAGGTTGCAAGATATAAAATTGGTACACAAATTGCATTGGCTAGCCTGGGCATGGTGGCTTACACCTGTAATCCCAGCTCTTTGGGAGGCAGGTGGATGACTTGAGGTCAGGAAGTTCAAGACCAGCCTAGCCAACATGGTGAAATCCTAACTCTACTAAAAATACAAAAATTAGCTAGACATGGTGGTGCACACCTGTAATTCCCGCTGGGCCAGGAGATCACTTGAACCTGGGAGGCGGAGGCTGCAGTGAGCCAAGATTGCACCACTGCACTCCAAACTCCTGAGCAACAGAGAAAGACTCCGTCTGAAAAAAACAACAACAACAAAAAAAACAAATTGCATTGGCTGGGACCTCTAGCAGAATGTTGACCACATGTAGTAATAGTGGGTATCCTTGTCTCATTCTCAATCTCAGGGGTGGTAGGGTGTGGGAGAGGTATCAATATTCATCATTAAGTATCATCGTAGCTATAGGATTTTTGGTGTACTCATCAATACAGATTTCCAAACTATTTAAAAGGTGCTTTCTCTTTCACATATGGTGTTAAATATTTATCAAATACTTCTTCTTCACCTTTGAAACAACATTTTTCTCCTTTAGTTTGTTGACTTACACTGATTGACTTTTGAATGCCAAATCGAATTTATGTCCTTGTAATAAAAACCAGTGGTGTGTGTGTGTATGTGTACAAACATAATATTTGGACTTACTTAAAATTTAGATTCATTTGCTATATTTTTCAGAATTTTTGTAGTTATATTCATGGGAGACTTTGCTGAAATATTTATATTGTGATGTTCTTACACTTGGAAGAATGTGTATTCTGCAGCTGTGTGCAGGTGTTATGTGTATTTCAATTGGGTCAAATTAACATCTTTACTTGACATTTCTGTCTGTTTGCCTATACATTATCGAAAGACGCTAAAGCCTTCCACTATGATTATGAATTTGTTCATTTCTCCTTCTAGTTCTGTCAATTTTTGTTTTACGTATTTAGAGACTATGTTGTTAGGCTCAAACTCATTTAAAATTGATATTTTCTGGTAGAATGAACCCTTTATTAGTGCGAAATGGCTTTCTCTACTACTAAAAAAGGTATTTGGTTTTTTTTACTTTTCCCCTCATTTTTCAATTTTTTTATGTTCTTATAATTATGTCATATCTCTTAAATAGAGTTTTGGTTTTTTGTTTTTTAATGTTGAGATAGTCTCACTCTGTCACCCAGGCTGGAGTGCAATGGTGCAATCTTGGCTCTCTGCAACTTCCACCTCCCAGGTTTAAGTGATTCTCCCTTCTCGGCCTCATGAGTAGCTGGGATTACAGGCACCCACCACCACACCTGGCTAATTTTTATATTTTTAGTAGAGACTGGGTTTCACCATGTTGTCCAGGCTGGTCCTGAACTCCTGACCTCAAGTGATCTGCCCGCCTTGGCCTCCCAAAGTGCTGGGATTACAGGTGTGGGCCACCATGCCTGGTCTTGAATAGAGTTTTTTAATTTAAAAAAAAAAAAATCTGTTTCCTGTGAGTTCAAGAGCTAATAACATCTGTAATAAAAATCTCAGTTTAAGAAAGAACATAAAGAAAAGTATGACAAACCAAAACCTAACTACATTGAGTTTATACAGTAAATTACAACAGTAGAATGATAGTTCTTCTGTGGGCATAGCTATCTTATTAAAAAATACACAGCTGGGCACAGTGGCTCACACCTATAATCCCAGCACTTCAGGAGGCTGAGGCAGGCAGATCGCTTGAGACCAACACTTTGAGAACAGGCTGGACAACATGGTGAAACCTAGTCTCTATAAAAAATACAAAAATTAGCTGGGCATGGTGGCACACACCTGTAGCCCCAGCTACTCAGGAGGTAGAAGATGCAGTAGGCCAAGATTACGCCACTGCACTCTGGTCTGCATGACAGAGGAAGACCCCGTCTCAAAAAAAAAAAAAGCACCACCCTCCTTACCTGTCAGGTTGTTAACTAGTCGCTCTCAACCATTTGAATCAAGGTAAAAACATGTAAGTAAATAAAAAAGACTCTGTGGAAAGTCAGTATCAAAAAGTCCTAGAACAAAAGTTTAGCAGTGACTCATAAGGAAATCCAGGCCAGGTGTGGTGGTTCACACATACAATCTCAATACTTTGGGAGATCAAGGCAGGAGGACTGCTTGAGCCCACAAGTTTGAGACCAGCCTGGACAACAGAGTGAGACCCCATCTCTACAAAAAAATAAAAAATAAAAGTTGTAAAAGGTAGTTGGGTATAGTGGCACACACCTATAATCCCAGGTATTCAGGAGCCTGAGGCTGCAGTGAGCCATGATCATACCAATGCACTCCAGCCTGGGTGACAGAACAAGACCCTGTCTCAAAAAAAAAAAAAAAAAAAAAAGAATTTGTTAAGCCTTCACTAAGAACCTATTATTCTGGTCATCTCAGTCCTCAGAGACCTAACAGATGAACAGCTGCAACAACAGTTGATTCTACAGACAGACACGAATAAGAAACAAGAAACAACAGTGTAAAGGGCAGTTGGAGTCTGACCAATACTGAAGAGGCAATGAACTGCAGCATCTCCCAAGGGTATCAGGTAAATATATTGAAAACCAAGTCATCAAGAAAATTACACTGTATTCAGCAAAATCTGTTCAAAAAGTCAAAAACCAAATAAAAGTTGTTTGTCAGAATTATCTTGAATTACCCTTGGTAGTAGCAGGCCTCACTAAACTTCAAAATTCTCTAATGTTAGATACACATAAAGTGTTATACATTTATTTTATTAATCTATTTCACTCAGAATACCATAAATATATTTAAATGTTTTATTTAAACATGAAATAATGTTATTCAAAATGTTATTCAAAAAAAGAGCTCTTATGAGAATTTACTAAGACAGTCACTGAGTGGTTTGGTTCTATGATACAAACCTACAGCAGCATGAAACTGAGATAAAGCATCAGCTAGCTGTCCAGCTGCAAGTAATTTCTTGCCCAATTCAAGATGTTTCTCAACATCTGCATTTACTCCACATTCGGCACCTAAAAATAAATTTTAAAACAGTCAGTTAACTGTCCACAAACCAAGATTTAATTTTAAAAACATGTTACAAATGGTTATCTGTCTCAGTCGTCTACTAGGATGAGAAAAGTCACAGAAGCTGAAAAATGATGTAAGGAACATAAAATATAAAGCCTATTTTATTTTATGAAGGACAAGACAAAAAATATACCCATCTTGACCTAATCAGTCAAAAGAATGTAACCAACCTAGAAAATAAAGGGAAGTTGCGTAACGCAGAAGTAGTAAAAATATTTTGAACAATAAAATGAAAATTGTTTGAAGTTAGAATCTTACCTTTAATGAATAACATATAGCCTATTACAATATATAAGTACTTATTAAGCACCTATAATGCACTAGGCACTATTCTAGGTATCTGGCGTTAAGTGAGCAACATTAAAAACTCTTGCCCCTCATACCCTCCTGGCACCTGACGTTACAGTGGAAGAACACAGACATAATCACTAAGTAAATTACATAGTACGTTAGGTGAAAAGTACTGTGGAAAAAGTCAACCCATGTGAAGGGGTAATGAGTTCAGGGGACTTATAGTAGTAAATAGGGGGGGAATAAAGAGCAAGCCTTCTTGAGAAGCTGACATCTGAGCAAGACGGGAAAAAAGTGAGGAACTCACCATGCAGACAGCTAGGAAAAGAGCTTCCTGGAAGAGGAACCAGCAAGTACAAGGGCCTTAAGTTGGGAGCATGGAGGTATGTTCCAGAAACAGCAGAAATGTCTGGATGGCTGCAGCAGAGCCAACAGGAAAATAATAGTGTGAGGTCAAAGAAGTAGAGGACCTGACTATGTATGGCTCTGAATATTTACTTGTCTTAAAATAGGGAACTGTTGTGGAATTTTGAGTAGAATAACATTATCTGTTAGACTAGGCCAATTACCAGTGTATTGCCTCTCAGCTCTGAATTCATCCTTCGGACATGCACTGCAATAAAGGCCTGGAGTTTCCAAGCATTTCCTCTTTACAGTAAGTATAATGTAATCTTTGTCAGTATAGGGCACTGAAGCAACACTGCAGGAAGGACACTTCCTGGTTCTGCTTGCTGCGTTTCACTGTCTTCTGGCTCCTGCTGCATGGTCTGTCATGGGGTGGACTTCCTGCTGTATATGTATGAGGAGGACATCCAGGGGTACTTAGCCATAGCTGTATGCCCAGGGGTCCAGTTCCTCAGTGACCCGGAAACCTCAGCACACATACTCCAGATTTCATACGCACAAAAGCACCTGGACTCCCTTCATAGACAGGCTGATCAGCCTTGGCTGACATATACGTGAAAGGATTGTTTTCTGCTTCCCCAGTTCCTATGGACCAGCCACATAGCAATCTTCTCCACCAGCAAACCTGGGCTATACCTTCTCCAATAAGATCTGAACCCCAGCCTCGTACAGGGGACCCCTCTTGCAAGTTGGTCCGTCCTTGGCGCTGTCTCTTAGTCCTAGAATATCTGTTAAGAGTTCTCTTTACATCTTTAGTTACTCTCCCATCATAACTTAACAGCTCTTAGATTAAACTTCCCCTTTCTAAGTTACTACATGATTTCTGTCTCTCCTCAATGGACACTGACTGACACACAGGTATTGGAAGCAGTCCCTGGAGACAGGCCCACAGATGCAATCTGGGGATGGTTTGGTCATGACCTTGGGCTTCAGTGCAATGCTAAGTTCGTCGCCAATGGGAGATGAAATGCTAGTAATCCACAGTAGGTATCAGTCACAATAAACTAAGCTAGCACTTTAGTTGACTATAATGAAGTACTAACTGAGGCACATGTCTTAGAAACCCAAGTGGCTGCTGCAACTGACCATAATAGCAGAAATTATGAAAATAATGACTGTGATGTGGGATGGGTTCTTTTGAGAGCACAAGAGCAGGGGTCCCCAAGTCCCCAGCCATGGACCAGTACCAGTCCATGGCCTGTTAGGAACTGGGCCACACAGCAGGAAGTGAGCATTACCACCTGAGTTCCGCCTCCTGTCAGTTCAGTGGAGGCATTAGATTCTCATAGGAGCACAAACCCTATCATCAACTGTGCATGCAAGGGATCTAGGTTGCATGTTCCTTATGAGAATCTAACTAATGCCTGATGATCTGAGGTGGAACAGATTCATCCTGAAACCATCCTCTCCCCAGCCAACCCGGTCCACGGAAAAACTGTCTTCCACAAAACCAATCCCTGGTGCCAAAAAGGCTGGGGGCTGCTGCACTGGAGCACCTACAGACAGAAAATAACCAGCTCAGATCCAACTTTCAGCTCAAGTCATAGTCTGAGAGGTGATTTAGCTGAAAATCAAACATAAAATTTAATTAAATTATGAGGGTTGATAAATTAAAACAAGAGCTGAATTTATGGTCTCGCCAGGTTTCTCCTGTGAAAGTTAAGGCACAGACTGGTAAGAATGGAATGCTTAAATTTGGAATGGGAATATTTATTTGGACCCTAATGAAGCTGACCAACTTGAACCCCAAAGTCCTTCTGCCAATACTGGAGACCAATACTGAATTCCCAGTATGGCACCACAGGTGGGAAAGAGACAGCTGGCCACCTAATGGTAGATTGATTTAATTTTGTTCTCTTCCATAATTGATCTGCTTCTCATATTCCAGATATGAATTTGCCTGTAATGTTTCTGCCAAAACCACCATTCGCAGACTCACAGAATGTATGATCTACCATCACAGCATTCTACACAGCACTGTACCTCATTAAGGAATTCACTTTATAGCAAAAGAGATGGGTAGTGTGCTCATGACACTACGATTAACTGGTTTTACCATTACTCCATCACCTAGAATGGCTTACTGAAGACTTAAGTAGGAGCACTAGTTTGGAGACAAAAACATGAAAGGATGAGGCTCGGTTTTACAAGGTGCAGTTTATTATTTCAATCACAGGCGATATGATGCTATCTTGCCCACAGCCAGAGTCAAGAAGTAGAAGCAAGCATGGCTCCTCTCATTATTATACCCAAACAACCCACTTGTAACATTTCTGCTTCTAGTCCTGGCAACTTTGAGCTCTGATGGTTTGGAGATCTTAGTCCTTAAAGGAGAAATGCTTCCAAAGGGGACACAACAATGTTTCCGATTAACTGGAAGATGAGACTGCCACATGGCCGTTTTGTACTTCTTATGTCACTGAAATCAACAGGAGAAAAACACTGGTTAATCTACTAGTTGGAAAAATGAAGCCCAATTACCAAGGGGAAACAAGTTTGCCATTTTGCAATGGAGGCAAAGTAGGATAACTAGAACCCAGGAGATTCTCTAGGGCATGTCTTACTATTTCCATGCCCAGTACAAAGTTAATGAAAAGTTACAGCAACTAAAAAACAGAGCAATGAGTAAGACACATTCCCTTAGAGAAGGAAAGTTTATGAATCACTCTATCAGGTTAAAAAAAAAAAAAAAGCCAGAGTAGCTAAAACTGTTACTACTCTTTGCCTCTCTGGCAGAAGGCAAGAGAGGTATGGAAAAGGTAGTAGATGAAGGAAGCACACATATCAGCTACAACCTCAGACCAGTTACACACACAAGCTATGTAGTAGCTTTTCATATTTTCTGTTTGATTTTATACGTTTATTTGTATATACAGTCAATCTTCATAATTCAGATTCTGTACTTATTTGCCTACGCACTAAAATTCATTTGTAATCCCGAAATTTATATTCACAGTATTTTCACAGTCATTCAAGAACACATGCACGTTCAGAGCAGCAAAATGCTGAAAACACTCCAAGTATATGTTCTAGCTGAGGCTGAACAAAGCAACACTCTACCTTCCTGTGTCAGCCTCCACATTATAAACAAGTGTTTTTCCCACTGTACATTTGGTGCCACTTTTTTGTGTATGCTTCCTGTCACTGATTTCACCATTTCAAGTGGCTCCCAAGCATAGTACTGAAATACTGCCTGGTATTCCTATGCTCAGGAAAGCTGGCTATGCCTTACTGAAAATATATGTGTGTTATTAGTTAAGCTTTCTTCAAGTACAAAAGACAGTGACATTAGCTGTAAGTTCAATGTTAATAAATCAACAATATGTAGTAAATAAGGTGTCTTTAAATAGAAACACACAGAAAACAAGGTTATGTCTTGATCTGTTGAAGAACGTTGTGATTTAAGGCTTACAGAAATTTAGTCCAGTATTTCCCCTAAGAGAAATGGTTCAATATTTGCTAATGCAGTGTTCACAGTGACTTTATAGAACCACCATGAGTAACAAGAATTGACTGTACTAACCATATTCTTCTCCCTAATTCCCAATTTTATTTTATACACAAATTACTGAAGTTAACTTTACAATTTAGTCTTTATATAACTGAATATTGAGTGGGACAGTGGTGGAGTAAGAGTAGTAATTTCTGTAGCCAGTTATGGATATGTGACTGATGGAACCAGGAGTCTTCTCCATTAGGGAATGGGTAACAACCTCTTCGCTGCAAGAAGGATAGCTCTATCTTCTTAGTTAGAAAATTGTCTTAGTTCTTCTATTCAGGCTGCTATGACAAAATATCATAAACTGGAAGGCTTATCAACAACATTTACTTCTCACAGTTCTAGGGGCTAGCAAGTCTAAGATCAAGATGCCAGCAGATTCTGTGTCTGATGAGGGTCCGTTCCTCATAGACTGCGCTTTCTTGTTGAGTCACTACGTGGTGAGAGAGGAAAACAAGCTCCCTCAGGCCTCTTTTATAGGGCCACTAATCCCAGTCACGAGGGCATAACCTAATCACTTCTGTAAGGCCCTGCCTCTTAATACTGTCACATTGGATTAGGTTTCAACACATGAATTGGGGAAATGAGGGAACACAAATATTCAGACCATAGCAAAAATAAAGTTGCTTTGTTGTACTGGTATTCAAATATGTGTAGAAAGGTACACACGGAAACTAAGTAGACAAAGCATTTCTCCTTTATGGTAAGCAGGATGTTAGCTTTTTGGGGTGCTGAAGGACATTACAG